AATACACGCGTTGATTCGCTTACCTGTTTTATTTAATATCTAAAGTAAAGTTTATGTAGTTATTTGCAAAATGACTTCGACCATTCCTTCCAGTTTAATGTTTTTATGCATTTTTTGTTATCAATACAACTTGCATCCCACACAGCAAAGACATCCAAAATATATCATAGGGATATCTTAAAGATATATTTGGGATAATGGCTCCTGCCCATACATAGGACGCGGCAACACTTACCGCGCGGCAGAAGTTCGTGCGACAGCCAATCAATATGCTGCTTTCCGTAAAAACCTTATAACTCTCACGGAAAAACAATATATTGATTGGTTGCGCGAACTTCCGCCGCGCGGAAAGCGTTGCCGCGTCCTATGTGCAGGAGCCATAAGCGATATCTTCAAGATATCACTATGACCGGTATTCAAAGTCGGGTCTTATATTTAAGACTGCTTAAGTTTATCTTCAGATAGTCTGTAGCCAATGAAATAATCCATACATTATCTGAAGATAAACTTAAGACGGTTTTAAATATAAGATCTGATTATGAATACCGGCCTATGATGTATTCGGGACATTTCTCCTGTGTGAGGTCAGACTCTATGGCCGATATTCATAGTCCGATCTTATATTTAAGATCATCGTAAGTATTGTCTTAAGATGTCATGAACCAATCACAGAGCTGTATTCGCATCTCTATTATTTAAGATGGTCTTGGGCTCGATTCTCTAACTAGTTGCGTATACGTAATGGCTTCTGCACACAGGACGCGGTAATGCCGCGCGGCGGAAGTTCGCGTGACAGTCAATCAATATGTTGTTTTTCCGTAAGAGCTAGAAGGTTATTACGGAAAGCAGCATATTGATTGGCTATCGCGCGAACTTCCGCCGACAAGCATTAACGCGTCCTGTGTGCAGGAGCCATAAATTTTACTGCGCAGCTATTTTATGATATGATTAAACCTGCGCAGTAAAACTTACGTATACGCAACTAGTTAGAGAATCGAGCCCCTGGAAATAAGATTGGACTATGGCCGGTATTCATAGTCGAATCTTATTTCAAGATCGTCTTAAGTAATCGTCTTAAGTAATCGTCTTAAGATGCGAATACGGCTCTGTGATTGGTTTATGACATCTGAAGACAGTACTTAAAATGATCTTAAATATAAGATCGGACTATGAATATCGGCATATATAATAGAGAATATTATGAAATGAAAGAATATTCAGGGTTTTTGCGCAAAATTGTTTAAACAAATTTCAATTTTACATATAAATAAAAAAAATAAGAAAAATATATATGATTATTGTATATTGTAATATAATATGTATAATACATATATATTAATATAATAAAATTTAATAATAATTTATTTTATTATTATTATTATATAATAACAAATTTTTCTCTAATATTATTAATAATATAATTTTCAATGGTCCTCAAATATTATTGCAAAAAATTGTACTTTTTGTTCAATATATATTCAATATTGTAGCAATATCTTGTAATCAATGTTGAAAAATCAACATAAATTCCATGTAGAAAAAACATCCACACTTTTATTTTCAACGTTGCAACATCTCATCAAGGTTTTTTCAACGTTCTGTGCTGTATAGGTAATATTGATAGCGCTATCAATTTGAATCGTTTTCTTTAAGCTGTATCGTTCTCGCTCGCAAGAGCGATTCAAATATAAATCCTATCGTATTTTATCTGGTTATACACGATTTTATATTCTATAGGAAACTAACGATAGAAATTCTATTACTATCTATTTTATTCTATTGTATACGATAGAATACTATTTACATTTTCTAAATTCACGAACCAAAATCCATATTCAAAACGATAGAAAATGATTATTTTATTTTATCGTTCTCTATAAACTTTTTTTTACAAAGGATGTTATTAGATGTCGTCGCAGCACAGCTCGCTCGAACGCGTGACTATTTTTGCAATGAGAGCGAGAAAAAAGTTTGTGTATGTGTGAGAAAGAAAAAAGATATATCCTTGGTAAAAAAAAAATTTATAGAGGACGATAGAATAAAAATAACCATTTTCTATCGTTTTGAATATGGATTTTGTAAATTTATTCTAACTAAAATCATTCAAACTAAATTCATTCAAACTAAAATCTATATTCAAAACGATAGAAAATGGTTATTTTTATTCTATCGTTCTCTATAAATTTTTAGTAAATATCGACTTTAGGAAAGGCAGCTCCAATGACCTTGACTTTGACATACATTGTAGAGGTCACCCTCCTGAATGACAAGCAAAAGGTTTTAGCCGTCGCTCGTTATTTGTTAAAAAGTTATTAACAAAATAAGTTGCATAAAATGAATGTAATTTTTGGACAACGTATATACAAAAACAGAATTTGTAGGCTAGGAAGGTACCTCCCAGTAAGCAAGAAACATTAAATCAACTTTCTAAAACGTTGATGTTATGTATACTTTTGTAATGTTTCTTTATAATATTCTTAAATAAACATTTTTAAAACATTGCTTAATAATATTACATTTCAAACATTAAAGAGATGTTTTAAAAACATTTCAAAACATATTTTTGGAATATTGTTAACAAATAAACAAGAAATATTAATTTAACATGTTTAAAACGTTGTTCCCAGATAACACATGTTCATATACGTATTTTATACGTATGTTTTATAATGAGAAAGCACTAATAAGAAACGTTTAGACAGAAACGTTTATGAAATAATAACTTAAGAAAAGTGTTTAACGTTTCTACAGTCAAGAGTTTTATTTTTTCGATAAACTTTATCGAAATATTTTTAATTAAGGTAAACATATTTTACATAAATATTTTATATATGTATCTCTAACTTCTCTTTTATTATATAAAATATTATAACTATAAATAGTTAATTTTTGTTGTTGTCCTAAATAATATTATAAGAAAATTATAATTAATGCCTTGGCTCCCTTATAGAAATATCATACTAAGAATCATTGATAATTACTTATTTTCAGTATTAAAAATACTGGATAATAAGTAATTATCAATGATTCTTAGTATGATATTTCTATAAGGGCTGTATATGGGGATAATAAAAAACACTTAGTAACAATTAAAGAAATAGCGCAGCAGCCAAGGTAGTAGACTAGGAACCTGGAGATGTCTAAGGTTCTCTCTCGAGTTCGTATCCGACCAATACTGAATACATTTTCAAGTGGGAAAATAGTGAGAAATTAAATAAAGGAACTAAATTTCACAGTTAAAATCAACATAAGTTCATTAGTTACAACAATCGTTTCCGCAAGATGTGTTTTTTTTTTTTACATTACAATTCACGTCCTTATCACGGCTACCTGAGCCGTAAAAAAACATTTCTGAAACGTGTTTGTGTTACCTGGGATGTGAATTTGACGTTACGAAAACATTTATTTAACATTATTCGAGGAACGTTATCACAGAATGTTCTAAAAACATTAGCATAACATTAATTACAACAATATGACATATGTGAATTCAACATTACCGAAACTTCTAAATCGGTGTCAAAGTTTGTTCATAATGATGTTGTATACAATGTTAAATATGACATACTTGAAAACATTACATGTTACTGAATATCATTATAATAATGTTGTAGTAATGATATTTGGCTTACTGGGCTGCTACTACCCTGAGTAACATTCAAAAGGTTTTAAATGGCGCACATTGTTTCTTAAAACGTTATTCATAAAAAAAGGCACATTAATATCAACACAGAATACATTAAGTATATATATTTCTGTCATACCAATTCATCAATATAGTATGTTACATTGTAAGTGTGTTATGTTGAGAAATTTATACAAATGCATGTTGAAAATTCGGAAGCCGTGTGTGTGTGTGTGTGTACGTGCGTACGGCTGACACCTTCCTAGTTTACAAATTCTATGTTTTTGTATATACAGTGTCCAAAAATTATACTCATTTTATGCTCAATTATAACAAAATTATACTCAATTATATTCAATTTCTTTTGTTAATAATTTTTTAACGAACAACAAGCGCCGCCTAAAACCTTCTGAGAGTTACTCAGGAGGGTGACCTCTACAACATATGTCAAGGTCAAGATCATTGGAGCTGCCTCTCTTAAAGTCGATATTTATCATATATTGATATATGATGTATAATCCGTTTGTAACATTCAAAATGGGATATAAACAAGAATATATGTAACGATATAATAGATTCATACATATATTTATACATATATTCATGAATTCATACATTAAATACAAATAATTTTTATTCGTAAGAGACTTTATTGATCGTTATAATATATCAACGATTAATTATCTGATTTATCGGCTGTGTTTGTAACATACATTGTAATTAAATATTACATTGTTAACTAAAACTGCTAATTTTGTATTTATACTTATTTTTCATTGAGCTATTACTCTATATACAGTATCAATTCAGCCTCTATATAATTGCACATAAAATAAAAATAATTTTACACCAGGTAGCACACACACGTTTTAAAATTGTTTTATAAACGTTAGAACCAAATCTTTCATAACTGTTTCCAAAACGTTTCATAACGTTTCTGGAACGTTTTTCATGAGTAAAAATGTCCATTCAAAAAATGTTAGTTGAAACATTATTTTTGCGAAAAAAAAATCGTTGAAGAAACGATTTTATAAACGTTTTATAAACGATTCATAAATAAGGACAAATTTCAGACAAGTTCTTGTTAAAACGTTTCTTATTGGTGCTTTATGGTTCTGAAACTATAGATATTTTTAAGAAACGTTTCTAATACGTGTATGTGCTACCTTGGGTTTGTGTGATAATATATATATATATATATATATATATATATATATATATATATATAT